TTCATAGTAAAAAGTAGAAAAGGGTATTTTTTTTAGCAAGTTTTTTTTAATAATTATAATTTTTTCTTAATTTTAATAAGGTTATAAAATTGATTAAGTAAATATCAACTGTGCCTTCCAACTAAAAAATTTTATTATAAAATTTCATATTCAGGGCTCGCAATTTTCATAGTCAAAAAGGAAGAAAATAATTTTCTCTGCTCCCTTTGTCATTAATAAAGAAAATAATATAAATTTTAATGGATATTGGGCAGACTTCAAGCTAGAAAGAAAGTTTGACAAATGAATCGGGTGATTATAAAATACCGCTTTATTAAAAGTTCACTCAACTTATGCTGTCACTTTAATGTGAAGTACAATAAAGCCAGTTGGGAAAAATTTATGTCTCAAAATATATTATATCTTACCATAAACTATATCTTGCCATAAATTATGTCTTACCATAAAACTTGGTTAGCCATAAACTTTTTCGAAACACCAAAACTACATTTGAGTTACATTTTTCTTTTTATCTTAAAGAAAACCTAAACATAAAATGTTTCTAAACATAAAATATTTCTAAACACAAAAGCCTGCAGCACAAAAAAAAAATACTAAACATTTTATATCATTCAACAATGAATGCCGCTGAACATAAAATGTTGTTAAATATAGCAAACAATATTGTTAAACATGATAACACAACACACACATTTCAAATATTGCTAAACATAAAGTATATTAAAACTTAAAATTTTACTTCACATAAATTTTTGCTATACGTAAGATATCACATAGTTAGTTAGTTCAAAATTGTAGGTTGGGGAACAAAAAATGTCAGAATTAAAAATGACATGAGGAATAAATTTCGCTTAACATAAAATATGGTGGAAAGAATGATAAAGAATGTCGGAGCATAAAAATTGGCCTCGCATACGGTACAAAAAGGAAAATTTTTATTTTAAATGAAACTCTATAAAAAAAAATATTTTGGTATGCCATAAAACATGTCAAAATATAAATTGGGACATAAAATAAAATAATTAATGTCAAGTATAAAATAAAAATTAAAGTTTAACTTTTGGTCATTTTTTAATGCTTTTCAAGACATAAAATAAAAATAAAATTAATTTTCATAAAATATCTCTTTAACTAAGTTACTTTTCATAAAGCATATCAAAACATTAAATGTGGTGGCTTCATATAAAATGAGCCAAATGCGCTGAAAAAAATTTAAAATATTTTTCTTTTGTCTGAAACGTGACCTTTAATTTACTTAAGTTTGTTATAAAGCATGTCAAAACATAAGTAATGGCCTGGCATAAAATCAAATCAAAACAAGCAAAATTCATTTAAAATAAATGAATTTGTATGCAATCTTTCAGAAAATGTCGTATTCCAATATGTCCATAAAATATGGCTTGACAAAAATTTTCCAAAATGCACACCAAACTTAAAAAACCTCAGTTTTGCTTCAAAAGCAATTGCTAGTACTAAAACATGTCGAAACATAATATATGGCTTGACATAAAACAGATAAAACGAATGTCAAAAAATTAAAAAAAATATTTTTTTACAATCTCTCATAGATTGTGTTGCTTATCATAAAATTTCGCATAACAATATGTCCAAACATAAAATATGGCTTGACAAAAATTTCCAAAATGCTTGCCAAACTTAAAAAACCTCAGTTTTGCTTAAAAAGCAATTGCTTGTACTAAAACACGTCGAAACATAATATATGGCTTGACATAAAACAGATAAAACGAATGTCAAAAAATAAAAAAAGAATATTTTTTTTTTACAATCTTTCATTGATTGTGTTGCTTATCATATAATTTCGCAACAATATGTCTAAACATAAAATATGTCCAAACATAAAAAAGGCTTGACAAAATTTGTACAAAAAATTTAATTTCGCTTAAAAAAATCAATTGCTTATAAAACATATCAAAAGCTATGTCTGAAAAAAAAATTATGCTAAAAATGAACACTAAATGCTACTGCACTTCCTTTAATGCTACAACAATATCAATTCTATTTACAACCATTTCCACAGAAACCTATACAATTCATTGATGAAAAGCAGACAATTACAGCAATTTTGCGTTGAAGTTTTCTAAATAAATTTTCACCTGGCTCAATATTTTATGAAGCGTACTTTATGCAGTTCTGCAAGTAATTACATAAAAGCATCACTTTACCGTATTTTTTTTTTATTTTTTTTTTTATTTTTTTTTTGCCACAAAAACTCCTACTCGTTGCACATTTTCATTCTCTAGAAGCCATCATTTCCATGGACTCTGTTGAATTCCGGACAACAACACATCAAAGCCATATATAAATAGCTACTAAGTCTTTCTTTTGCTGCATTTTTCAGGCTAAAGTACAAAAAAAACATTTTTTCTCATGCAATGATAACGAAGAAATATTTTTTTCATAAAAAAAATTTTCAAAAAGCAATTTAATATTCAATGCCAGCCAATTGATAGGTAGAAATTGAAGGAAACCTGGGCTCGTACTTTGCTTCCTAAAGGGTATATTACTTAAATTAGTATTTTAAACTGAAATTTTTAACTATATATATTTTATTTTTAATAAAAATAACTTTAAAAAAGTGAAAAAGTAAAAAACTAATTAAGAATTTATACATCTTATTTTTATATGTTCTATATTTTCATACTACATTTTTTATCTTGTATGTTCTATATTTTCATATTGTTCACACTGGCACTCAATTAGCTAATTTAGAGTATTTTAACAATAAGTTTCCTAAGTAAGTTCTAAATTTCCTTATTGCGACTTAATATACTATTCAAACTAGTACTTCATTAGCCAACTGAGGGCTTCTCAGCATAAAGCATATAAGGAAGTTGAATACTTTCTTATTTTAACCTCAATATTGTCACACAATAAGCTCATTGAGAGTATTTAAATAATTATTGTCCTAAATAACTTCCGAGTTTTCTAATTTTCATTGACATTTATTAAGCTAAGTTAAGGTGTTTGAGCAGTTAAATGACTAAATAAAATTATTATTATTTTTTTATATTAAAATACTGTTCATATTAGCACTCAATTAACTAATTGAGTACATTTCAACAATTAAACTGCTAATAAAGCTCAATATTGTTAAACTTTAGTCTAAAATTTAGCTCCCACTGCTCAAAAATCTCTTCTTTTGGAATAAAATGCGGTTCACACTTGCACTCAATTAACTAATTGAGTACATTTCAACAATTAAACTGCTAATAAAGCTCAATATTTTTAAACTTTAGTCTAAACTTTAGCTCCCACTGCTCAAAAATCTCTTCTTTTGGAATAAAATACTGTTCACACTAGCACTCAATTAGCTAATTGAGTACATTTCAACAATTAAACTGCAAATAAAGCTCAATATTTTTAAACTTTAGTCTGAAACTTAGTTCCCATTGCTCAAAATTCTTTTCTTTTGGAATAAAATACTGTCCACACTTGCACTCAATTAACTAATTGAGTACATTTCAACAATTAAACTGCTATGGCAGCTCAATAGAGTTTAAAACAGCTATTATGCATGCTATGCTATTTAAAAATATAGAGCTTTATAGCAGACCGAAATAAGATGACTATCAAAAACTAAATTTCTCAATTTAAATGCGTGAACTGAAAGAAGCCGTGAATGATCCTCACTTAATTAACCAATTTGAACAGTCTGCTTTAATTAATAATTTTATTTTTTTCTTTCTCTTAACCATTTTGATTAGACAAAGCTTTTCATAAATATATTATGAGCTTCATTAATGCTCAGACATTAATTATTTCGACATAATTAAGTGTATGTGAACAGCAAAATGCAACTAAAACCTTAATTGTCTTCGTTTAAATGTCAGCATTTGATTTAGAGAATATTTTGAAAAATAAAGTAGCAACAGTATAAGCTATAAAGCATTAATTATTTCAACTTAATTAAATATGTGTGAATGCTTTTTATAGCAAAAAGTTCTCTTTATTATTCAAAAAATTAAAAGGATTTATTTTAAACTTTAAAAGCTTTCCCTTTTAAGACAAAACTTTTCATAAATAAAATAAAAATGACAAACATTAATTGTTTCACTTTAATTGAAGGTGTGTGAACACTGCATGTGATACTTTAAATTGTCATAGATAAATGACGCAGTTTTTCACTTTTTCATTTTTCTGCATGAACTTAATTCAAACTAAAATACTGTTCACACAGGCGATCAATTAGCTAATTGAAGGCATTTAGATACCAGTAGTAAGTTCAAAATCTACATTTCGGCAAAAATTTGCTTTAAATAATGATCAATGAGAGGTTTTAGCTCGGAACCTCGGTCAGACTTGTAACTGAAAAAGGATTTTCTTAAAAGTAAGCTATCCTCCCTCGACGGACAACGACTACAACGAAAATACTTAGGTCGAAAAGAGACTCATTATGAGACCATCATATTTTGACCGTTGAAAGTATCCATAAAATTAAGCAATTAATTAATTTTTCAATAATAAAGCCTTTGAATTATAAAAGAATATTCGCACTTTCAGACACCTGCTCAGCTACGTAAATATAATTTGCTCACTTCTATCAATTATTTATTTATTTATTTACATATCTAATTATTTTCCTTAGCGCCATTTGCGAAAGCGCGCCAGTATTGGCGATATTACGAGTGTGGCGCCAATGTACAAAACAAATAAATGATAAAATAAATACGAAAGAAAAACAAAAGGAAATACTAAAACACAGAGTTGAGAAGGTGGCCAGCCAAGCTACCGCCAGCACAACACAAACGCTTTGCAGTCAAACCAAACTCATTAAAAGCCAACACGGCGCTGGACGTTGCGGTACAGTGGAGCGCGGTGGTGGCGCGTTTCATGACGCGACGGCCTAGTGGTTGTTAGGTAGTACAATTTTTGTTATTTTTGTAATTGATTTGTAATTTAAATAAAAACTAAGTACACTGCTACACACACACACACACACATGAAGTTGTTATGGTTAAATCACTACCAAACAAACATACCGTTATCCTTTCTGCGCGTATTCAAATAATTACAGGAGGCACGCTGAAATCAAGACGCTGCGCTGCACACACGCGCGCGTACATAAATGTTTGTAGTACACACACACACACCCATACACTCGACGAACACGTACACAGAAATTTACAAAACGCGCCGTCTCTGACACGCGTTCGCTACAGCGGCGAACGTGTCTTTGAACGCGGACACAACGCGACGCGGCGGTTGACGTACGTGCGTGCGTGTTGTAACGGGCGCGGAGGAGTAGGCTAAACGCACGCACGCACACGCGTAACGAAATTCTTTTGCAGAACGTTAAACGCAGGACGCGGCTTGACTTTGATAAAACTTTGTTGTTTTCGTGTTTTTTTTATTTTTTTCTATTGCGTTTTCGTGTATTTGTGTGCGCTTTTGTGTTTTTGCCTTTTCCAGGCTTTTTTGCTGCTGCCTCTGCCGCTGGTGCTGGCGCTGTGTTCTTTCGAAAACACAGCTGCACACAAATTTGTTTCGTCTTTCGCAGGTGACGAGCTAAGAATTTTCACAATTTTTATTGAATTTTTTTCGCGTGCATTTTCTCTAGTAATTCAAATATTTTTTTATCGCACTCAAATATTTTTTTTTTAATAAATTTCCACTATTTTCCCGCACACACACCCGCAAACACAAGCACTTGGTATTGTGGTTTGACTTGCTTAATAATTTTTGTGGCGTTTGGGGTAGCACACGCGCGCAATAGTTCGCGTTCCAAATTGACCCGACGACTGGAACTCCATGACTGACGTTTGACATCGAAAAAATTTCATTCCTAACCAAGCTGACGCTAAATCGAACAGCCAGCAGCGCCGTAGAGACGTTTACAGCGACAGTGACGCGCGCGCACACTCCAGCGTCGGCAGCGTCGTCAATGCCAACAGCCGCGCTGCAGATTTGATAAGGTTTACAGCAGCCCAATGCCACAACGAGGCGCATTACAACAATATAACATATCTACTGTGGTTGCTGTTGTTGTTGTTTATCTCTGCCGACGTACATGTTCAACGCGCGCGTTGTTGCTCTCGCTCCGTGCTTACATCCTGTCGTATTACACTTCGCTTATCAGTCGTAGCCGCCGTACTCGTGCAGCCGAGCTTGTGCCAGCTGTGACGTACAGTTATTCGAAAAAGCTCTCGCAGTCTCGTTGTATGCGTGCCATACACACATGTATATTTAAGCTGGCGCACAAATACTCTGAGAAGCTCTCAGAAACACACACACACACACACACGAACCCCCACAGACAATTCACGCACTTCCAAAGTTCCATATTCTGGCGCCTTTCCAGCAGGTGTGAAAGTTCCAAAGTTCCAATTTCATTGACTGTGCAGACAACGTGTGCGCACGCGAGGGTTGCCGGTGTATTTTGTTCGTAAGCAGGAAAATTAGTAGTAAATTCAGTGTTTATAGTATGTGTACTATTCACCTATAAGCGCATGGAAACTAGCTAAACGAAAAATGTTGCATATTTCTGGGCGTACTATATATTTTTTATTTCTAGGGGCATTAAAATACTCGTATGAAGATTTTGTCTAAGAAGACCTCTAATAAAATTTTTCGAAGAATAATTTTGAAATATATTTAACCCTCTGACAGCCTTCAAAACGGGTTTTCAGAGAGAATTCTTGAAATAAGGTTAAAAATAATATTTTATTTGGGATGAATTTCTCTAAGAAGAGCTTTAGAAAAATGTTCAAATGCAGGCTGTCCGATTTTGATCATTTTTGAAGTCAGGTTAAGTTACGTTTTGATTTTTTCTTAGAAGACCTAGTAAAAAATAATTTCCCGCTACTGACCTTCAGAACTGTTTTTTGAGCGATTCCCAAAATAAGTCTGAAGATTACCTTTTAGTTTTGAAGATTTTGTCTGGGAAGACCTCTAGGAACATTTTCCGAAGAATATTGCTCTGGTGTATATGTGTTAACCCTCTACTGTCCTTCCGAACTTGTTTTTGGAGCAATTCTCAAAGTAAGGGTATAAAACGTAAGTCGGGAAGGGTTTGTCCAAGAATGTATCTAGTAAAAATTTTCGAAAAATAATCGAATATTTTTTTAACTCTCTACCGACCTTTCGAACTCGAGAGCATTATTGATGTAGAGTAAATAGCCTTTCGATTCGGAAGATTTTGTCAAAGAATATATCCAAATGTGATCTAACGATTGATAACCGAAGGACAAAACACTTCTCTAGTCTGCAGATTGACAGACATTCCGTTACATAACTGAAGTGGTCCGAAGTAATTACTCGCCTGAGGAACAATAAAGTTACGACATCCCAAATACTTACCCTCTGGACAATTCAAATATGACGGCTAAGTACTGACAAAATGGCGTAGCAGAGTCCACTAAAATGGTGTCCAAAGCTCAAAGAGTTCTCCTGAGCTTTTCGTAAAAAGCTCTTATGTAAAAAAAAATTAACTTGTGTACCCACAAATCTTAGCATGTAACCGGAAAACTTAAAGTTTCTGCAACTCTTCTAGTGCAGGTCGCAACCAATTAGATTACACGAGCTTTCAAACTGTTGGGCGCAAAGTTTAAGGTGCTGAGCTTAGCTGTTAAATAGTATTGCAGGCGCCGTGGAATCTTACAACGGAAACCCGCTTCTGCTGGTACACCAAGACAACGCCTTGCCTGGCCTTCGCAAAGAATCCAAAAAAGGCAACTAGGACGCAGAAAGCCCTTACAGAAGATAAAACATGCTTAATACTGTTTTGGATCCAATTAGATTGGTAACTGTATCGGTGCTAAGAAACTAAAGTCTGGAAGTCATTAACAGATTGGACGGAGTATAACTCTGATACCAACAGAAATGGCATAAAGGCGTCTGGTGTTATAAAGGCGGAGCTGACAGGGTTATGAGCGGTAGCTTAAAAGCACGAAAAACAGATGAGCTCCGATAAATTTCGACCCATTTTAGAGAATGTACAATGATCCAACCAGTATCCAGGTTTTGAGTTTCACACAAAGAGACTTCTGCGGTGGCGTTAATATATACATACATACATAACACGCAGTACTAACAACAACAACACTTCTTTTAGCACACCTAAAAAATGCCGCTCGTACTCAATTATACATACATATGTACATACTTACAAAGTTATCAAAATTACTGTGAACAACGGTTTATGCACATTTCTGTTTTCGAAACTTTTCGATTTCATTGAACTTAATTATTTCACAAATCACTCGCGATAAACTTATTCGGTAACTTAAAGCTCGGTTAAAATTAACGAATAACCAAAAGCAGGAGAAATAAAAGAACGCGGCGAATTGGCGAATTCGCATATATATATTCTTGCCACTAATAAAATTAACGGTGTTTTCCATAAAAAAGTTTTTTCTTCGTTAATAAATCATCTGTTAAGAAAATATTATATTTATATATGTATATAAAGCCGAAGATATTTTTGCACAGTTGCACAACTCACTTGCACAAGTTGAAATAAATTTTAATTTTCTTTGCGATATTTCCAGGAAATACTGAAATATTTTTATACGGCCTTATGTGGAGTGTTTTACTTCGTACGTTTCGCTGAGTTAAACCATAAATTTCATAAATTACAAATTAGTTCTTAAAATAATAGCGTCTTTTCAAATAGCTAACAAAATCGCCTTTCTTGTAAGCTCCCTGCACTTCCATTACACAAAAACTACAATGGCTGCCAAACACTGAAACGCGTAAAATTTTTTTTAAATATTTGAAAAAACTAATAATAATTAAATTCAAAAATATGATATTAATTATCTATGACCTCTTGTTGTTAGAAAATATTTACAATAATAACTGCATAATAACGTTAGTTTAATTAAACTTTTCTCAATTTGTAGTATAACATTACGTTGCCTCCCAAACTGTGCGTGTAGTGCAGCCAAGTTCGCTGTTTAGCAGGAAAAACTCCCTTCATTTGACATTTAATGCAACTCTGCACGCCGAATTAAGACCACAAAACAGAAGTCATGCAATTCACAGAAAAATTCTCCGCCGTTAGCTGGCAAAACGTCAGTTGAGAAACAAATGGCGGATCGATTGTAAGCGAATTGCGGATAAAGTGTATGTGGAATTTCCCCTAATTTACGGATAGTGCAAAATACATAACAAATATATACCTAAAGATTATGCAAAATAATAAAAATTTCAATTGCAAGCGCATAAAATTAAGTGAGTAGTTCGATTGGAAATGCTAATGAACTGAGATTTAGCATTTAATAAGCAACAGTGTAATGTAAAAAAGTTTCCGCAAAATATCTGAAAATCGGTGAAAAAGTGTTGATGTGTGCGCAAATAAAGAATTGCATGAAGTACACATAAGAGAATGAGTTGAAATATGAAAGATAGAAAAGTTGACGAACAAATTTAATGTAGCAGAATTGTAACAAATAAGTGCTGTGGGGTTAAACAAAGTGGGAGGTCGTCAAGTATAGTAAAGGAGATTTTTAGAGAATTTATTCGAAATATTTTACTATTTGACAAATTAATAAATACACAGCTTGACAGCTGCAACTGTTGAACAAAGCGATTGCAGTTGCTTTCCTTTTGTTTTCTAAAAGAACCGAAATTTGATTTATTTAAACATAAAAATCGTAGTAAATTAAACGTATAATTTCTTTATCGCCTTTGGGTGAATTTCAGTGCTCCAAAAAGTTATAAATGAAGCACTCTACAGATAGTTCTTCCTTATTACCTGCGCTTTGCAAATTTATTGCATATTTCTGCCACTTCTTTTGTGCACAACTTGCCTTTGTGCTGCGTCTTCTACATGTTTTTCATTCATAATTCTTGGCGTCTACATTTGCTACACATTTTCGTATCTAGTCGTTTTGCTTACTTTTCTCCTTGGCATTCGCAAAGTTAATTTTTCAATGCTGTTCGTATGGCTGACGGTTGCGGAAATTCTCATGCGATTTTGTAATATTTAAATAAAATTATAAGAAAAAAGTAATAATTAATAGAAATTGACAACATATTTGAGAGGAAACGGCAGTCTTAGAAATCACATATTTACATATAATAAACTATAAATAAATAGCAATGTGAAGTGTTTTAACAATACAAAATTTTGTTTAAATTTTAAATAAGTTTGCGCTTAAATCGCTTGAGTTCACAACTAAATATTTTATACTTACAGGCTTCCAGTTTTTTATCTTAGCTGTTTTATGTGTTTTATTCGTTATTGTGCTTAGTTAGATTCGCCTAGGCGATTACAAATTACATATACATAAATATAAATATTAATAAAAAAAAGTGCCGGTGTAAGGTGAAAAAAAAATCCAATAACAAAAAACGCACTTTAAAGAACACCTCCAGCTGCTACACGCTTAAGTGGGAATTTTGTAAACAAAAAGTGTTTAATATACCTAACTGAAAAGGTGCGGCTCGCTCTTCTGTAATCGCGAAGCAAAGACTTTAAGCAGCGTGTAATCAACTCTGTGCATTGCAGATTTTAAATTTTAACTCCAGTAGCATATAAAGGTGAGTGAACGTATATTTCTGCACCAAAATATTGGAATAGTGAATTCACATGTATAAATATTGCTAGTTTAGAGGAACCTACAGAACTCTACATACTAGCCACCTAAGTCCCAAAACCAATAGCAAATGCTCGTGTTTTAGCCGCGATGTGTCGGAATTTTGATCTAAATAATTTTTTTAATTTATTTTCACATATTATTATACCTTAAATTATTGTTTATTTATTATTTAATTTATATTGTTTTTAATTTAATTTTTTTCGTAAATATTTCATCTTTTTAATTCATATTTTTCTTGTAGTAATTTTTTTTGATTTTTATTTTTACTCTTATTTTTGTTTGTTTTGTTTTGCTAATTTCTTCTCTTATTTCTTTCTCATTATTTCTGTATACGATTTTCCTTGCGTATATATTTCTCCTCTTCATCAATGCCTCAATTATAATTTATCATTTTGTTTTATCATTATTTTTGCCATCATTCATTATTAAAATACCTGCTTCCTTATTAAGCTTTTCATTATGCCATCCCAGCTTGCTCTTCATTACATACAGACAAGTTGTTGCATACACAACAAATAAATTTTCTCAGAGCAGCATCCAGTAGAAGTATTTGCAACAACAACAGCAGCAAAGTAGTTCGCCTCTTGTTGTCTCATTTATACGCTAAATGAACATTAATCCACTTTACAACAACCGAAACTTTAGCTTGCTTGCTGTGCTCCTTGCCGCTCGCACATCGCTTTTATATGTACATATGTATGTGCGCCTCAATCTTCTTCTTTAGATTTTTTTCTTTTTATTATATTTTTATTTTTATTTTTTTTTATTGGTTCTCTGCTACAGAGGAAACAAGCTTTACCAGTTTTGCTTTGAGGCTTGTCTGCCTGCCTTCGTCGGGCGTTAAAAGCGGTGGCAATTTCTATTCAAGTTCGTTGCTACAAAAGCAACAAAAGTATGGGTAGATATGTATGTATGTGTGTAAGCTTATGCAGCATACAATAAAATAAGAACACATGTACGTAGCTAGAAGAAATGGTAAACACTGGTTGTGGAGAAAAAAATATGCCGAAGAAAGCAAAGAACTCGTATTACTGGCAGGAGAAAGATGAGCGATTGAAATAAATTAAATACATAAAATAAAAATAAAAATGATAAAAAATGTTTAAAACCCCTTTTTGCTGATTGTGTTTCTTGAATAGCTTTTCCTGCTTCTACAGCTTACTTTGAAGTAGGCGACACACGTGTTCGATTAACAACAGAGACTCGAGTAGAGGCCAGCGCAGCTCAAATTGCACACTAATAACAATAAACTATCGCCACAGACAGTTGAAAAATAATTAAACAAAAAACATAAACACAACAAAATTCAAATAAAATTAAAAGAAATATTAATAAAAAAAGAATTATAAAATATAAAAATTAATTAAATGAAAAAAATAAGAATAACAGAAATAAAATATATAAAAAAAATAAAAACAAGCATGATACACAAAAAAAAATAAACATAAAAACTTGAATATAAAAAAATTAAAATAAAATTTATAAAAAAAAATTAAAAATGATGTATAAAAATTAAAAAATAAATATATAAAAAAATATTTAAAAAAATATATATAAAAAATTTTAAAAAATATATATAAAATATTAAAAAAACATATATTATATTAAATAAATATATATTAAATATTAAAACAAAAATAAGAATGAAATTTATTAAAAAAAAAAAAAAAAATATTTAAAAAAATATTAAAACAGTTGAAAAAAAAAATATGCAAAAATTTAAAATGAGAGAATAAAATATGTAAAAAAGAAATAAAAAGTAAAATATATAAAAAACTAAAAATAATTGAAAAAATAGTAATGAGATAAATAAAAAAATTAAATTAATTAAAAATAGAAAAATTAAATAAATAAAAAAAATCAAAAAATGAAATAATTAAAAAAAGAGATAAGAATAAAATAAATAAAAAAGAGATAAAAAAATGAAATAAATAAAAAAAACCAGAAAAACGAAATAAATAAAAAAATAGAGAAATAAAAAAAGAATACAAAAATGAAATAAAAAACATTAACGAAAATAAAATAAATTAAAAATAAAGTTAATATTAAAATGGAAACAAGTAAAAATAACTAAACAAATAAAAGAAATAAAAAGGAAATCTGATTAAATAAAAGAAATCAAAATAAATTGGTAAGAAATAAATTGAAAAAATAACAGTTATAAAAAATTAACAAAAAAATAGTTAAAAAAAAAAATAAAATAAAGTAGTTAAAAAAATTAAAATAAAATAAAATAGTTAAAAAAAATTAAAATAATATAAAATAGTTTAAAAAAATAATAAATTCACAAAAAATGGGTAAAAAAATTAAAATAAAATAAAATATTAAAAAAAATAAAATGAAATAAAATAGTTGAAAAAATAAAATAAAATATTAAAAAAATAAAATAAAATAAAATAAAAAATTAAAAAAATAAAATAAAAAATTAAAAAAATAAAATAAAAAATTAAACAAATAAAATAAAATAGTTAAAAAAATCAAATAAAATATATATAAAAATAAAAAATATAAAAATAAAACAAAAAAAAAAGTAAAAATAAAACAAAAAAAAAATTGAAAAATGAAAAATATAAAATAAAAAAAAATTTAAATAAAAAATATATAAAAATATGAAGAAGAAAAGTAATAAAAAAATTAAATAAAAAATAAAATAAAAAAATATAATATAATATAATATAATAAAAACTTAGAAAACGTAACAAGTAATAGCAAAAATAAGAAAAAGTTAAAAACATTAAAAGACATGTAAAGTAAACGAATTAAAAACATTAGATATTAATAAGAAAAAATAAATAATAGTTAGCTTGAACATAATTACGAATAATGATTTTCATGCAAAAAAAAAAAAAAAATAAATAATTTAAAGTAGTACAATATTTATTAATTATTTCAATATGCATTTATAAAATGCTTCAGATATTTTAACATTCCTTCTATTTCACAATTGTCTTTATTTGACTTCGCTCTTCTTATTTAACTACTTTTTTTTATTCTTTATTTTTTCTAAGATTTTTGAAGCGTTTGCTTTTTCGCCCACATTTTCTACATAAAAAAACAACACATTTCTGCTTAGCGCATACTCCGAACTTCTTTATTGTACGCTATTGTTTGTTGTTCTAATCTATTTGAGATTCACAAAACAGAAATGTGCAAAAAAAAAGCTCTGGAATTTTAATGACAATGGTAGGAAAAAAAATAATAAATAAAATGAAAATGAAAAGGAAAAATGTAAGTGCCTTAAAAAATTCGGGGAAAAAACTCTTGTATGGACAATAAAAAGAATTCCATATGCAGCACATGTTTTAAGGGTGTGTACTCGTATGTTTAGAAATTTTTATAAAAAAAAAGACAAGAAAATTAGAAAATGGAAAAAAAGAATAAAACAAAATGAAACAAAAACAAAAAAAAAATTCATACAATGAAAATACTGAAGAGGTTATAAATATTAATAATTAACTAAATTAATAATAAATCGGCATTATAAAAAATAAATAAATAATACTAATTAGAAGATAATTGTTCTGAGATTTAAATATTATATAATAAAAAGTAAGATATGTAACGAAATAAAATATATAATGAATGAAATTGAATAAAATAAAATAAATAATGAATGAAATTGAACAAAATAAAATAAATAATGAATAAAATTGAACAAAATAAATTAAAATTTTTTTATAAATTTAAAAAATTTTAAATTTTTAAAACATTAAATAAAAAATAAAAATAAAATTGAAAATAAAATATAATATAAAAAATAAATTAAAAAATAAATTACAAAAAAAATAAAAAAAAATAAAAAATAAAATAAAAAAATTAAAAATGTGATATAAAAGTAAGAAAAATAAAAAATATATTAAAGCAAAGAAAAAAAATATTAAATATATAAATAAAAAAAATGTAAGAAAATGTGAAAATAAAATAAAAAATATATATAAAAAATTAAAAATGAAATAAAAAATTTAAGAATAAAATAAAATATTGATATAAAAAAATTAAGAATAAAATAAGAAAATTAAAAATACGATAAAAAATAAGAAAAATTAAAAATAAAGTAAAAAAATAAATAATAACAATAAAATTTAAAAATAATTAAAAATCAAATAAGAAATATATATAAAAAAATTAAAAATAAAACAAAATTATTATTTTTCATTAATAAATTAAATAAAAAAATAAAATTAAATAATTTATAATTGAATATCAATTCTATTGAAACACCGAAATTAAATAAAATGAAATAAAAAATAAAAAAATTAAAAAATTATATTAAAATCGCATCGGCGTTTCTAAAGCGCCCATTATACATATGCGCCCAAAGCAAAATAAAATTTTATAAAATGTACTAGTAAAAAAGGGGAAAAAATCAAGTAAAAACAAAGCATTGATAAAGCGAAAATATGACCTAAGTAAACATCCAGAACCTCCACGTCCATGTGTTTGCGCAACATATACCAGTTTGGGGTTACACACTCACTGCTGCATAAATTTATAATTTTTTGGCTGCGGGTGGTACATACATACACTATTTTATTCCAGCTGAAAAAGCAGCTGCTCAACGCTATGACGACAATCAAGCAGCGTTTCCCATAAGCACGAATAAATATGTATGTATGTGCATATATATATACGTGTATAAAAGCATGTATAAACGTTTAGAAGAATATGGAGCGTATAAAAATTAATGAGGATGCATTCAATTAAATTCATATTTTTCACTTTAGATATCATAACAATGTATTGGGTGGCATGATGGATTTTCATACATACATACATAGTAAATGCTGGCGTTGTGTGGGTGCATATTTGATATAGGAGACTGATTCTCATGCAGAGTGGAGGCTCCTCTAAATATAAAAGTAAAATGTAAAAAAAAGAGCAACAAAATATACAATTTTGTATATATTTTTATGTTAATATCTAAATTATGTCAGCGTGTTA